TGCTAGCCAGATGGAGTGGTTCCCCTTCTCCTCCTCTTTCTCACTGTTCTGGGGGTTCTTCCGACACTCCAGAGTGGATTTAAGGGAAGGGGGACACATGAGGGGAGGAGAGAAAGCCCAATGGCATTAGCGGGAGCCATTGCACTGGCTTCCACTAGCACAGTGGGTTAGTTGAAACTGGACCATAATCTGTATCCTGGGGATGCACAGCCTCTGTGTGGACATCAGAGACAGGACCAGGAAGTACCATTTCAAGCCGTCTCTCCCCCACCCCCATCCATTGTACACACCATGTTCTGTGCACGTGCTGTGTTTTAAGACACTGAGCAGCTGTTTGGTTTGATAATGACTGTGTAAAATCATGTAGTAATTGCTTTTTTTTGTTCTTTTGACATTGCTGTGGTACAAGATCGCTCATAAGAAACAAAACCTCCTCGCTCAGCTGAGGCTACTGCTGTTTCCCTCCCCCCTCCCTTTAGCGTCCCCATTTAGAGCAGAAGAAAAACAGAGACATCTGCAACTCTTGAAGGATCAAAGGCGAGGAAGAGGATTGAAGGTATATGAGAAGTATAAATTTCACCTTTTTGTTTTATCCTATGCTAATTAAGGACTGGGGATCCAAGCCTCGTCTGGTGTCATGAAAGTCTCTTACGTGTGTAACTAGGATACATGCTACTGCGTGATTATACATATATCAAATTGGGGTGGGGAATTTATTCTTTGGTGATTAATGCTGTTATCTGTAGAATGCACAGTCGACAAATCTGGTGCAGATGGCCTATTATTCAAAATATGACTTCGTTCAACTAAGAAGGTGCTGTGAAACATGAAACAGTTTCCTGCAGTGGTGCCATCAGGTGTAGGATTCTGGTGCACAAGCTGACTAGAATGAGCAGGAAGGCGCCCCGCCCCCCCAATGCATTGGGGTGGCGTACTACATTTTGAAATAAGTGGAAGCTGTAAGAACATGAGGTATAGTCTAAAATTATGTAAAAATGCCCCTGGTTTCAAAGAGCACCATCAAGCAGCTGCCCAAACTATGGTTTGGAAGAAATGAAACTCACACTTCTTCTTACAATAGAGATTATCTCAGAAAGAAAAGGGGGGGATGCATGAAATGGCCCGTATTGGCTGTACAGTCGTACCTTGGTTGTTGAACGGAATCCATTCCGGAATCTGTTCAACTTCTGAAAACGTTCAGAAACCAAGGCAAGGCTTCCGATTGGCTCCAGGAGCTTCAGGCACTCAATCGGAAGCCACGGAAGCCGTGTCAGACATTTGGCTTCCAAAGAACATTCACAAACCGGAACACTCAATTCCAGGTTTGTGGCGTTCAGGAGCCAAAACGGATAAGTACCAAGGCGTTTGACAACTAAGGTGTGACTCTACATGTTATTTGACTTGTGCTGGTGAAAGTAAAGATCAGGCATGAATGTGATCTGTGTAGAAAAGTATGGCTAAGTATGAATCTTTAATTCAGTGGCTTTTTGGTTACACAGTTAAGAGTTTTGAGGAGGGAGCGTTAAGTAGTATGCCAGACCCCTCTAATCCCTGGATCCAGCAAGTGTTAACAGCTAATCAAGACTTCTAATTCCTGGAATAGCCAAGCTAGTTTACCGGTGAGGTAATGGGGAATTAAGGGGCTCTGTGTGAGATGAAGAATGGGTGGGGGCCCCTTCCTTAACAGACAAAGTCTGTTTTCTCCAAAATTGGAGAAAAGAGTTGCAGTGATGTAGGACAGATGTAAAACAGCAAGCTGGGAGAAGGCAGAGAGACAGAGCAATGTTTGATGTCTGCAGCTATGGGAGAAATAAGATGCATTTGGGGTGTTGATGTTTGTGAACCCCTCCATCGTAGGCTCAGGTTTTATATGTGTGTAAATAAGCCATATATCATAAAGACACCACAGTCTGCTGTGCCTCATTCCAAAAGGGAGCACGAACCCTGGAATCTCACATCACTTGGAAACTGGAGTGGTGTCAGATACTAAAATCCACATGTCCCCCACCCACCTGGTTGGCTACATCAATAAAGCTGCAATTCTATGCACGTTTACCTGGGAGCAAGCCTCATCAAACTCAGTAGGAATTACTTCCAAATAGCTTTTCTGCTGCAAATGTGTTTTCTGCATATGAGCACAATGAACACTGTAACTTTCGAAAGGCCCATGTGCATCTATAAATATACTTGTATTAAGATACGAATAGCATACCCTTGAATGGGAAATATATACCTGTAAAACACAGTCCAGTTTCTGATGCAAATTAATGTCTCTCCCCTTTGAATGTTGCCACCATATCTGTGGTTTGGCAAGCACACTGCAAACATATTTGCCATCTAAACTGAGTATCCATGAAGTGTCTCTAGTATAAAAGGGAAGAGATGGTATAGAAATCTGAGAGAAGATCCCTTGTTCCTCCAGGCTGAGTTGGATTACTGCGATGTCATATGTGGGCCTGCTTTTAGAGACAGTTAGCCTCAGCGCCTAGGGCTTGCCGATCGAAAGGTTGGCGGTTCGAATCCCCGCGGCGGGGTGCGCTCCCGTTGTTCGGTCCCAGCGCCTGCCAACCTAGCAGTTCGAAAGCACCCCCGGGTGCAAGTAGATAAATAGGGACCGCTTACTGGCGGGAAGGTAAACGGCGTTTCCGTGTGCTGCGCTGGCTCGCCAGAGCAGCGATGTCACGCTGGCCACGTGACCCGGAAGTGTCTGTGGACAGCGCTGGCCCCCGGCCTCTTGAGTGAGATGGGTGCACAACCCTAGAGTCTGTCAAGACTGGCCCGTACGGGCAGGGGTACCTTTACCTTTACCTTAACTAACCTGCACTTAGTTCAAAATATGACTGTCAGGCTGTTGTCAGGATCATACTTCACCTGTGCTGAATCAGCTTTATTAGCTCCCAGTCTGTTTTCAATTCAAACTACTGTGCTGATCTTACGATGTCTTGGATCCCTGAATGCCTCTGGGATGATTTTCACCTGCATCAGTCTGTTTGTTCAAAGATCATCATGTGAGGCTTTCATCCAGGTGCCTCCACCTTCTAAATTAAGTCTGCTAGTAATCCTAGAGAGAGAGTTTGGGGCTGTGGCACTTCACTTTTGAAATGCTTTTCCCAGGGAGGCCCACCTGGCACCAATGTTGTCATTTGGTACCAGGTAGGCAGAGCCAGAGATGAAAGTGTTCTGAATTAACCAAAGAGGCATAAAGACTACTCTACTGCCATTTTCACCATGGCTTCTGAGATTAGAATTCTCAGAATCCCCATTGGGATTGACAGGGCTGCTCTCAAATAAATACACAGTGGTGGTGTTGTTTTTAAAAAGTGCAACATACCAATACAGACACCATTTTGGAAAGCAAGTGAAAACGATTCCTTTCTGACTGTAGCATGCCAGAGAGAAAGAGAAGTGTAACAATTTGTGCTCCTACAGCTGTAGGAAATGCTTGAATCTCAAACCTAGGAAAATGTTTTTTTTTTTAAAAAAAACAACACATCAATTTATTTTAAATCAAATAAAATATTGTCCCTTTCGGTTATTTTGAAACTGCACTGAAGTAGGGAGAAAAACTAAAACAATAATAATGAGGTGGAGAAACAAGCAGGAAGGGACTCTGATAGGATGGGGAAATGGGGCTTCATAAGGAGGCATAAGGAGTGGCATACTACTACTACTACTAATAATAATATTATAATAATTTTTATTTATACCCCACCCTCCCCAGCCAAGACCGGGCTCAGGGCAGCTAACAAGCAATAATAAAAACAAGTTGAATGAATACAACTTAAAAACAAGATTAAAATACAACATTAAAATATTGAAACATTAAAATATTAAAATGCAGCCTCATCACAGGAGGAGAAAGAAAAAAGAAAAAAGAAAGGGGGGGGGGAAAATAGAATTGGCTCCAAGCCAAAGGCCAGGCAGAACAACTCTGTCTTACAGGCCCTGCGGAAAGAAATCAGATCCTGCAGGGCCCTGGTCTCATGAGGCAGAGCATTCCACCAGGCCGGAGCCAGAGTTGAAAAGGCCCTGGCTCTGGTTGAAGCTAATCTAACTTCCTTAGGGCCCCGGGACCACTAGGGTGTTGCTATTTATGGACCTTGAGGCTCTCCGTGGGGCATACCGGGAGAGGCGGTCCCGTAGGTATGAGGGTCCTAGGCCATGAAGGGCTTTAAAGGTCAAAACCAGCACCTTAAATCTGACCCTGTACTCCACCGGGAGCCAGTGCAGCTGGAAAAGCACTGGGTGAATATGCTCCCATGGCAGAGATCCCGTGAGGAGCCTCGCTGCTGCATTCTGCACCTGCTGGAGTTTCTGGGACAGCTTGTGGGCCCTATGTGGCCTTCAGAACTCAAGTTGCCCACCTATGAAGCAGGTATCACTCTGGAAGGTGCACCAATTGGCTGGCTCAGAAGCACCTTTATATTTTCATGCTTGGTCATATGTCTGCACTACCCCACCCAATTCTCAGTATACAGCCTGCAGCAGGTGTTACAAGATAGTGCAAATCTCCTGCACAGTGCATGGTGGCAGCAGAAAGGGAGACCCCCTTTCCCTCCCCCTTAGATCTTCCTTCTTACATTGTCTCAACGTGTTTACGGCTCATCTTGAGGACATCTTTTGTACACATGCCCTCCAGTCTGGCCTTTACATTTGCTGGGGTGAAGGACAAGGCCAACACGTGACATGGCACCAAGATGGAGGTCTCCATCTCATGATGTTCCACTCAGCCTTTGTGATGATGTAGGACATGGGTAGGCAAACTAAGGCCCGGGGGCCTGATCCGGTCCAATCACCTTCTAAATCCGACATGACTTAAAATGCATCTCTGGGTTATTTGTGGGGCATAGGAATTGGTTCATTTCCCCTCAAAAAATATAGTCCAGCCCCCCACAAGGTCTGAGGGACAGTGGACCGGCCCCCTGCTGAAAATTTTGCTTACCCCTGATGTAGGATTATTGAAGTCACATTGGCATTTTGAATGCCAGCAGGGAAAAATATCCTTCCACAATTGATCTTTATTTGCAAAAGAAGTTAGTGCTATACAGTATTTCACCTTGAATTTAGCCAGTGGTATAAAGTTATTTTTATTTGAAGCAAGCCCAGTGCAGATCAGTGGAGGAGAGATTAAACAGCTGAAATAATCTGATACTCTTTTCAGCATGCAATTGGCAAAGCTCTTTTGCTTTGATTTTAATCTAAGCCTATACAGACCTATATTAAAACACAGGCATTAAATCAGCAAGCAGTTCAGAATTTGTGACTACGGTAAATATATTTACAAAAAAAAGAGTACAGCATTAGACATCACCATTAATAGCGGCAGTGAACATTTTGTAGTAGTCATATAGAACCACCATTCTCCTTTCTCAACCTTCACTCTATATTAACTGGACAGCTTACTCAGGCTTTGTTTCTCTGAATGTTTAAGGCATGTGAGCTTTAGCACTCTGTGGACTTGGAACAGCTGTGGTGTGGTTTAATAGCTGCCCCACAGATACAAATCCCATTGACCTCAATAAAGTGAAACTTAAAGTCAAAGTTAACCATTAAATGCTATGGATCGAGCTGGTGCCACAAAAGTGTGTTTTTCAATGCATTTCTAGATTCTTAGCCTCAGCCCTTCCTTAAAGTTTCTTGAGTTGCAATCCCTAAGCACATTACTCAGAAGTAACAGAACACAGTGGGGGACTGAACACGCAGAGCACTGCACTGCTTGGCTGTGATTTTATGCACCTTTTTCTGCGGTAAGATCTGCTGAATGAAGTGAGACTTTACTTCCGAGTAAGCATGCATCATATTGCATTGTTTCTTTTTCTCTGGTTAGCTAAGCCTTATATCTAGGCTCCCTGGTTTCCAACATCCTCAGGTGTGTTGTTGTGTACAGTGTCTTTTCTCTCAGATAATTCTCCACATCTTTTCTAATCGCTCATCAGCTCATCTCTCATCTGAAAAAATATATGCAAGCAACTAAATAAACGAATTAGCAGATGCCCTAACAATTTAAACATCTTCCTAGGGTGCCTCTAAACACAACTTTTAATTTTTATTGATGGCAATCCTTATGAACCTGTTGATGGTGCCTGATTTCGAATATACAAAAGCCACAGACAGTTGCAGACTTTGTTACCTTAGATTAGAATGACATCGCTGGGTTTAAGATTTGTTTATGGTCTGTGTGTGCATGTGAATACACTGGGGAAGAACGTTTAATCTTTACTGAAAAATATACTGATGAAAACATTCACTCCTGGTCAACGGAAAGAAAGAAAAGATTTCAAAGCAAGATCGTTGCCCTCCTCTAATATTGCATGCTTTTATTCTGGGCAAAAAGTATAAGCGATAATTCACCATAGAAGGCAATGGCCGAGGTCTTGTCTATACACTGTAGCTTTGATGTTGCTTGTGTCGGTTTGTAAGGCTTGTGCTGTTGTTAGCATCTGCTCAACCCCACTTAAAATTGCAGCCAGTGTATAAGCAAAGCCCCTGCTTACACCGTGGTGGTCCTTGACAGAACAAAAGCAGATCATACCAGACATGCTTAATCTCTGACAAACTAATTGGCTTAGTAAAGATGTTGTCTTCTTGCATTATATCTTGGGTTTTCCACCATGCTCATCCACATTATTATAATGCTTTCGAATCGTTGATTTCAAGAAACTGCTATAAGATTTGTGGCCCATTGGTGGGAAAGGTAAATGGCTTGAAATCAAATTAGAAAGTGTTATCCAATTACATTCCACTAGGCCTGTCTGAGTCAGTGCTAGGATTGCTTTTGTTCAGTGGTTTGGTTTTTTTTTTAATCAGCGATTTAGATTGCACTTGCCATAAAACTTTGGTATTGCAAAATAAAGAGATGCTTAAAACAGACTGAGATCAGACCTAAACACTGTTAAATGATTTCAGTAAATGGGTGAGCTGGGCAGCTAGCAGCAAAATGAAAATTCCACGCAAACTCCGACTTGTTGTATACAAAAATAAAAGCACGTATGTTTTAGGTGATGATAACAGCCCGAGAAGCAGCATTTTCAAATTATCAAAAGGAGCAGTGCTCAAGCTATTTTCTTGTCACTAGTAAAATTGGAAAACCTTGTTAAAAGCTATTGACAAGCTGAAAATAGTTTCTTCTACCCAAATAATCACGTGGCTAAAGGAAAAATCCAATAGGATTTCCAGGCTAAAGGAACTGAATGTGTTTTGCCTAGAGAAAAGAGAATGTGTGCTTTAGTGCTGATGGTGGAATGAGGGGCATGGGCAGAATATGCGGGCCAATATTTCAGGATTTGAAATTATGAATTTTTAAAAAGGATCCCAGGAAGAAGAGGGAGGAAACACTGGTTAATTTAACTTGATCACAAGGAATGGGACAAGGAATGGTTTAAGGCAGGTAAAGGTAAAGGTATCCCTGACCATTAGGTCCAGTCACAGACGACTCTGGGGTTGCAGCACTCATCACACTTTACTGGCCAAGGGAGCTGGCATACAGCTTCCGGGTCATGTGGCCAGCATGACTGAGCCGCTTCTGGTGAACCAGAGCAGCGCACAGAAACACAGTTTACCTTCCCACCGGAGCGGTACCTATTTATCTACTTGCACTTTGACATGCTTTCAAACTACTAGGTTGGCAGGAGCAGGGACCAAGCAATGGGAGCTCACCCTGTCGCGGGGATTCGAACCGCCAACCTTCTGATTGGCAAGTCCTAGGCTCTGTGGTTTAACCCACAGCGCCACCTGTGTGGCAGGTAGGCTAGTTTAAATTACAGGTAAGAAGACCTTTGGAGACTTTAAGAGCAGTTTAAATTATCATTTAAAATTTAAAAAGAGCAGTGCAGCAATGGAACACACTGTTTAGGAGTGTGATGGGATAGGCTTGAGGAAAATACTGAAGGTAGATTCCACTAGTCCTGTGACCTATATAAACAAAAAATTCTGGTACACGTACTCCCATAGATCTCCTGGTTGGGATGAAAGGGATTTCTGAGTAGTTGCACCCAGATTGTGGAACACATTGCCCTCTGAAGTGCAGCCAGCCATCTCTTGAAAGAATAGTCTAGAGGACTGCATTTGACCCTAGGCCTAAGGTTCATCACTCCTTGTGTGTGGGGAAATCTGGCGGAATTTGGAGCATGGCAAGAGATGAGTGGGGCTCAGTTAAAACGATAGTCTCTTGTGAATTAATCTCAAATGCTACACCCAGTTTAGTAAACAATTTGACCTTACACTGGATCCTTGTGCTCTTTTCAACATTTGTAAATTACTTCTGGTTCACTACCCTTTTCCCAGGAGACATCATCATACGGTATGTCATTTCCTCATTCTTCTTTGAGTTTCTATGCATCTCAGTACTTTGTTCTTGCGCATGGAATTAATTATGTGAATCTTTCCATATCTTCTTTACTTGACACCTACCTCAGGTTACACTTCAGAGCAGGAAGCACTTTTGCTTTCAGCAGACTGGCAGCACTAATCCTATACATGTTGACTCAAAACAAGGTCTCACTAAGCTGAATGGAGTTTACTTGTGACTTCAGTATAGAGCTCCAGGAACACAAGGGATGAAGGACATTTGATCCAATGTCATAAAGAGACAAGAAAGAAGTAGACCGGTGTGACTAACCAGTAATCTCTAGATCAGTGTTTCCCAATCTTGGATCTCCAGCTGTTTTCAGACTACAATTCTCATCATCCTTGACCACTGGTATTGCTAGCTAGAGATGATGGGAATTGTAGTCCAAAAACATCTGGAGACCCAAGTTTGAAAAATACTGATGTTGCTGGTCTAAGACTCCCATTATCTGTGACTACTGGACATGCTGGTGGGTGCTGGATTCCAACACCATCCAGAGGGCCAATGGTTAGCTACTCCTGAAGTAGACCAAGACCACCCCAGAGGGCAATATATTACAGTGAGCAGCAGCCCACTGCAGCTGGTACCATCTGCCAGTTGTTGTGAAGTTATAATACGTTTTGTAGCTTCTTCCTCTGAACTGTAGTGGGTCAGGACTTGGGAAGCATAACTGTCAATCACATATAGTTGTTTCTGGGCTGAACAGCTGGTGAACTATTCCATGTTTGTCAAGGTTGTTCATACTGTCTGCGTAGTTACAGGAATATGTGCTTCACTGAATTGAGGTAACAGTGTTTCAAATTTAGTCAGTTTCTCTCAATATTTTATATCAAATTTCTACTCATGTCAACAAGCGGAGTACTGATGGCTTGATTTTGAACAGGAACTATTTTATACATTCTGCTACATAGTTACGGCATTGAATAGCAGTTGTTTTGTAAAACTGTATTTATTTTTTGTCCTTGTCAAACATACTAGAGATGTTAATGATTTTCTCATTATTCAGTTAATCTCACATTATATTCTGGTCAAATTACTTATTTTGGTGGCTGGTGCCATGCTATTTTTATTGTATTTATTTGTATATTTTAAACTGATTTTATATATGTATATAGTTTTAATTTCATCAATATTTAATTGTTTTTAATTATTGTTTTTTCTGTGTTTTTACTAATTCTAGGTTTTATCTGGAAGATGCCTTGAGTCCCAACAGGGAAAAAGGTAGGGTATAGATAAGAATATAACAATAATAAATATTACTATGATTATTTAATGTAATAAGGTGATATAAAATAAGCAGAGTTCCAGATGCTTTCTACAAGTGCAAATATGGTTTAAAAAGAACAGGAAAACTCTAATAACTATTTCCAGAGGGCTAGCTGTGTAAGTTTCTTGCACCAACAACAATCAGAGACTCTTGTGGCACCTTAAAAGACTAGTCTTGATAATTCCTAAATAAATAAATAAATAAATAAATAAATAAAGTAGGTTTCATAATCCCACTGATTACAGTATGACTGATTTCACTTATGAATAGCTTCCTAGGAAATATCCTGAAGTGTTTAACAATAAAAAACATATATAAATTCAATCTCAAGTCGATTGCAGTTAAAAAGCAGGATAAAAACCTGTACTTATTTAAAAGGCTTGTGGGAAGGTCTTCATCAGGCACTGAAAAGATAATACAGACTGCACCTGTCTGATATGTAACAAGACAGAGTCCCAAAGAGTACACTAAAAGTCCAATTCCAACACAGTGTGGAACAGACCTGTTGATGCTCCTTTCCTAGAAACTTTTGAGCCACAAACATTTGCTCTGCAAAGCACAAACAGAGGTACTACTCTTAGGTCTGCTTCACAAGTAGCCAAATTCTTACACAAAAGGCACGTGTGCCACACACTGGGAAGCCAGGTCTGTGTGCCATATGACAAGTGTGAAAGGGCATCAAACGTGACGATGTGCATTCAAATCCCTGCAGGGACGGTAGAAATTCATCTAGGAATTTCATCACATCTGAGGAGCCCCATAACTTCTGGGGCAGGAACCTACTGGGAACTATTAAGGCCTCGGTACTTGGGAAAAGAAAGGAGATTCTCCCCAGGTTCTACTGTATGGACTGGCCCAGAAAAGAGTTGTATAATTCAGGTCAAATTCTTGCACAAGGTTCAGCTACTCTTCACATCTCTGACCAGCTTCTATTCAAGCTAGTCACTGTAAGACTCTAAGACCTGATGCCTCAGTTTGCTTTTACCCTCTTCTCTCCCCCTCCCCCTTTTGTATCGTGTCTTGTACAGCAGAGACATCACCTTGCCAACAAAGGCCCGTATAGTCAAAGCTATGGTTTTCCCAGTAGTGATGTATGGAAGTGAGAGCTGGACCATAAAGAAGGCTGATCGCCAAAGAATTGATGCTTTTGAATTATGGAGCTGGAGGAGACTCTTGAGAGTCCCATGGACTGCAAGAAGATCAAACCTATCCATTCTGAAGGAAATCAGCCCTGAGTGCTCGCTGGAAGGACAGATCCTGAAGCTGAGGCTCCAATACTTTGGCCACCTCATGAGAAGACAGGACTCTCCGGAAAAGACCCTGATGCTGGGAAGGATTGAGGGCACAAGGAGAAGGGGACGACAGAGGGTGAGATGGTTGGACGGTGTTCTCAAAGCTACCAACATAAGTTTGACCAAACTGCGGGAGGCAGTGGAAGACAGGAGTGCCTGGCATGCTCTGGTCCAGGGGGTCACGAAGAGTCGGACATGACTAAATGACTAAACAACAACAACAGAGTGCAAGCCTACCAACTGTTTTCTTTGTTATTAGTAAGATTGTAAGAATAGCACTACTGCATCTGGCCAGTAGTTCACCTAGTCCAGCATCCTGTTCTTACAGCAGCCAACCAGATGCCTACGCAAGCAGGTTCTTAGTGCAACAGCCTTCTCCTCTGTTGTGGTTTCTAGCACCTGATGTTCAGAAGTATGCTGCCTCCAACAGTGGTGGTAGAACATGACCACCATGTCTAGTAGTCATCAATAAATTTGTCTATCCCTCTTTTAAAGGCTTCCAGGTTTGTGGTCATCACTGCCACCATTTTGTTATCCTGTGCAAGTCTCTTTTGGGAGCCCATTCAGCTGAAGAGCAATGAAAAACGCTTTAAATGAATCCTGCTCTATTCAATAGGAATAAAGTAATATTTTAAAACATTAATAAATCACCTTACCTATTCTACAAAAGTTGGAGATGTCAGAGATTGAACCTAGGACCTTCTCCATGCAAAGCATGCCACTGAACTACCTCTCAGTTCTACATGTTTGGAAGGAAGTAAACAAAAATATTTCCAATGGCGTAGGTAAATCCTACTTAAATGCAGAAAATGTGCTGAGCTAGTTACATTAAGACACTCTGCTATTTCTGGGTTCTTTAAATAGTGAAACTGTTATTGCCAAATTTCCAAATCCTACACAAACCATCCCATTACACCCTACTGAAAAATAAAATCAATTAAGTGTTGCCATGGCACCCTTCAACCTGACAGCTCATACTGGGCTACTACAAATTACCGTATATGTATAGTGGAAATATTAAATACCATTTGATTATACCAAGGTGTTAAGTCATGAACAGATAGAAAGTTACTCTTTAATGGCAGCAATTGTGGGTATGCTTGCTAGTGCCTACATCCAGTCTACCTGCTTGATAAATCTCTTTTTTGTTTGCTTAGGCGTTTAGTCGTGTCCGACTCTTCGTGACCCCATGGACCAGAGCACGCCAGGCACTCCTGTCTTCCACTGCCTCCCACAGTTTGGTCAGACTCATGTTGATAAATCTCTAGATCAGCATAAAATGTGGCTTTGCTGTATTATAAAATTAACTCTGCCTATGGACCTAGGAACTCTTGCAAGTCATTAGCTGGAATAACCACACACTGCTATTGTCATGACAAGTTTTACAAAAGTTATATGATGCTGAAGTAGGGACACCACATACACATACATCGTTAAACAGTTTTGGATGGCTGGACAAATCCAGATGGCCTGCAAAATTCTACCTAAATCACACATCTATAGTGCAATAATATTCTACAAAAGTCATGTTAGATTTGTTTCACAATTGTCATTGTAAGAAATGAATATCATTCTCATTTCTGGATGGGAAGGCAACAGTTGGAGAACTTCCCCAAATGTCTAGGGCTGTAGTGGAGTTTCCCTGTATCACTATGCACCAGAGCTACTTCAAAAATCACATATTTCCTACATTGATAGCATTTATTGGCAGATCATGTGTTCCACAGCAAGAGAAGATGAAGCTGCAATTCAGCACCTGGCTGAGGCCTGCAGGGAATTTCCTACATGCAGGTGCTATCTGTATGTATGACATGGCTTTTAATCAGATACAAAGGTTCTGATGTAAACATAATTATACCACTCAAACTCAAATAAATCACAAATCTAGACACAAACCTAAACACACCTTTTTAGAGGGTACACAATCTCACTGAACTCAACAGGACTTCTTTCAAAGTATGTTTAGATCTTCTGCATGAACAGATTTAAGTTTTGTATTTTGCACCTTGTCACCTGTATTAGATCCTTCAGTAGTTAATTTATGCCCTGAAATGTGAAAATTAAATATTAAAAGTTTATACAGGACAAGAGATGGAAAATACTATAAATGGTAGTTCAGGGCAACAAACTCGGGATTACCAAAGATTACCTCTGCCCCAATCTTTTTCAATGGCTAAGATTTACCTTCATACTGGCTCCAAAGTGCTGCACACATGAACTTTCAGCCAGGTTTGTGGGAAAAGATGATTTGTTAATGTCTCCATTTCAAAATTTTGTTATTGGAACTTTCCTATATATTTTGCCACATGGGAAAATGAGAGAACTTTATCCTCTAAGAGGTGTCATGGTCTGTTACTGGCTACCGTTCTTTGCTCCACCTTTTCTCTGTAAGGGGGAACAAGGGTGTGTGTATGTCAATTTAAACATGTTGGTAGATGACCAAGAACTTACCCATCCGGTGTTACATGTATCTGGTGCCTCATATAACCTGGGGCACCAGGTGCTAGCACACCAGTTCCACAGACCAGGCGGTGCTGCACTCAAATACTATCACTTTATGCACAGGGGCAAAGGACATAACAATGGCAAGGGAGTACAATGCCTCATAGGCACACTGCTTTTGGTTTTTATAGTATCATGTGGAAGCGGGCCATAAACTATTTCGGGGGGGGTGGGGCTATGGTAGTTGAAAAATGTTGATTCTAACCTCACTTTGTCCTTACCCCTTCTCCCATGTAGTCACTGCTCACCACTCGCTTTTCTGTGTCACAAGTTATCCTAGGACTTATATCTTAGACCAGGGTTTCCCAAACTTGGGTCTTCAGCTGTTTTCGGACAGCAATTCCCATCATCCCTGACCACTGGTGTCTTCTTTTGTACCATGTTTGTGCTAATACTTTAAATTGTGAACTGCCCTGAGATCTATGGATGAAGGGCGGTCTACAAATTTTAATAATAATAATAATGGGAGTTGTAGTCCAAAAACAGCTGGAGACGCTAATTTGAGAAACCCTGTCTTTAAACCATTAAGAGAAGTGTCTTATCCCTTTCCTGGAAACTTCTGAGGCGTTCCTCAATGAAGAAATGGGTACTACTCTTAGGCCTGCTTCCCAAGTGGTCAAATCCTTACCCAAAAGACACCACACACGGGGAAGCCCTGTCTACGTGCCACACAGAACACGCGTGACAAGGCCATCCCACGTGACAAGGTGCATTCAAATCCCTAGTTTCGTATAGGAATTTCATCATCTGGGGTGGCTGGGTGGGCGGCTGAGCGTAGCTTTTGGAATAGGAATAAACCGGGGACTATCCTGGCCTCAGTGGTGGGGAGGAGAAAAGAGCCTCTTCCTCCCCTCCAGGCTCAGATGAAGGGGCTCTGGCGACCCCCCGCGCCACAACTCGCTCTCCCAAGGACGTGTGTAAAAGGTTCCCTCCCTCCCAGCGTGTAAATAACGGCTCCCCGCCCGCCCGCCCGCCCCGCTTCCCCCGGATGTCTCGGGAGCTCTTCTTCTCCCACAAGGCCGCTCTCTCCACAGCGGGGCCTGGCGTCGCCGCCATCCTCCTCCTCCTCCGGCCCGCAAGCGCCTCCCGCCGACCGGGCTCCGCGAGACTCCTCCGCGCCCGCCCGAAGAAGCCAGGCCGCGTTTCTCCCCCCTCAGAGGCTCTGGCGGACGACGGGCGCCTGCAGGCCGGCACCGAGCGCTGGTCCCGCGGTTACTGCCGGGCGGCGGCGGCGACGGCGAGGTCACGACGGCAGCGGCGGGGTCAGAGGGTAAAGGTCGCTCCCCCAGCATCCTCCGTGCAGGGTGCTCAGCCATCTTGGATCCTCGGGACAAGAAAATTCATGCGGTGAGTTCGGCCCGATTCTCCTTCCCCCCGCCGCCTCTCCCCCCCGCCGCGGCCCAGCTCGGCAGCTCCCGGGGGAGCTGGCGGGCGCCGGGGGAGGCCTTCCCGACGGCTCCGGCCCTCTTCGGGCTGGCCGAGGCCCGCTTCATCCCGCTCGGTTTCCGTTTGCTTTTGTCTCTCTCTCTCTCTCTCTCTGAGGGAGAGGAGCAGGGAGGGGGGGTGAGAAGAGATGCGTGAGGGGAAGAGGAGGAGGAGGGCGAGCGAGGCGACGCGCAGGCTCTGAGCAGGCAGCCCCGAGGCCCGGCCCGGAGCAAGGAGGGGGTGGGTGGAAGCCCCGCCGCGGGAGGCGGCACCGCGGAGGCCCGTCAGGGCCGCGTCCTGCTTCTGCCCGGCCGCTCCTCCCCTGGGCCCGCTGCTTCCGTTCCCGCCGCCGCCGCCGGCCGACTCGGGTCCTGCCTGCGCCTCCCGCCCAGCCGCCGCTCGGCCTAGTCGCGGCCGCCTCCGCTCTTCTCCCTCTTTCCCGCGCTGCTGCTGCCCTTTAGGCCACCCGAGTGCGAGCGCCGCGTCCCCCCCGATGCCTGAGGCTCCGGGTAAGGAAGCGACAAAGCAGAGCTCTCTGCCTCTTCCCGCTGCCTCGCGTCTTTCTCACCTCCCAAGCGGCCTCGGCGGCCTGTTTATTAGGATGGAAGGCCCGGGATGGAGAGGGGGGGGTTCCCTTTGCATTTGCCTGGGGGGGGGTATGGGGGTGTTTCGCCGCAGCCGTACGACCCAGCGGTTGCGAAGAGCCTCCTTCCGGCCCCCGACGAGGTTTGCAGAACAAACTTGCGAGCGAGCGGTTGCGCTCTCTCTTCCAGGACGAGGTCTTTCTTGCGTGGATGGGCTTGTTTTTGTTTTGCTCGCTCGGGAGCGTGCACTGCAGTTCCCCCGCGGTAAACTGATAACGTGTTTGTTTTTGTGTGTGTGTGTGTGTGTGTGTGTGTGTGTGTGTGTTGTGTGTGTGTAAATAGTAACATTGCATTTGGGGGGGTGGGGTGGAAAAGCAGCTCCCTGGAGGAAGTGGCAAGGCTGCCCTTTGTTCGCGTTGAAGCTGTGTGTAATAATGTGGCCGATCCTGTCAACGTTTAGTGAGCAGGAGTGAGGTTTTTAATGAGACTGAGATGGTTTGGGCCATTAAGGAGTTTTGATACCTGGCTGCTTCCCCCCCCCCCTTTTAAGTTCGAAGTTGAGGCCTTGTATGTAGCACATCTTTCAGACCTGGCAAACTGCAACTTGCAAAACTGATCATGTTAGAGCACAGTGGGTGCATTGAAGCTTCTCCTGCCTAGCCCCTGCTTTTTAAGCAAATATCATGGTGATTCTTACAATTGCATGGTGGTTCTTGAAGTAATATATGTTATGTGGCATTCCAGAGTACCATATTGTAGACCTTAACATGCTCTTGTAAAGTTTATAGAGGAGTTGTAAGCATCCCAGGCAGCTGGTTGTTTTGGTCCTGTGTGGCCTGCTGGCATCTAGATTTTAGGTATAGGCTGTAAGATTCAGAAACAGTTTTGTGAGTCTGCTGAGCTTTCTACTTGGAATTTGTGTATTGTTTCAATCCCTAATTTACAGTTTGTTTTTCAAAAAAACTTATGGTGGGAGTAATACTGAGCATTAATTACTTGTGAAATATTTGGGGAGGGGAGTGGAAAGTCAGTCTTCTTTTGCTGCTGGTAATTAATTTAATCTGTACACACACACACACACACACACACACAGAGTAATCAACATTAAAAGACTACATAGAAGCTGTTTTGATATGATACACAAAATAATACATCTGATCATAAAGCAAAAATCATTTCTAAAAACAATGTTCACTTTGTTTACTATTTGGTGAAAGACAACAACAAACATTGGTGTTCCTGAAATAGAAACTTTCAGTTTTGATCTTAAAGATGTCATGAATGTGTGCAGGGAAATCTTTTACATACCATTGTTTAAGAAAAATCATTTTTAAGGGAAAGTTAATAAAGATCAAATATTACTGATAAGGCTGGATAATGAAAATTGTATAACTAATGCCCACCAATAGATTTCTAATACAGTTTGACGTAAAATGTCAAGCAGGTAATACCTTTTAAAAAAAATAATCAGAAATGGGTATTCAGCTCTTAATGAGATATGCATAGATTCTACCAAAGTCCATGTAGTGTAAGTTCTAAAAGCTACTCTGATAGTTGTTTGTGAGGGTGAACTTCTACTTCAGTGACTTCAGAAAATTGTTACAGATCATGACTTTCTTCTTCCTGTTGATAAAATATTAGTGGTGTGGCTTTTTCAGAAAGAAATTGAATAGAATATTTTTTCTGGAATTTTTATGTGTGCAAATGGGGATAATTTCATCAGTAATTTTTCTGATGTCATAAAGTTTGATCTAATTACAGACTGTTTATTTTACTTGTATTTAGTGAGAAAAGCTAAAAACTTGCCTAATATTTTTTGCAACTGGGATCCATATATTGTTGCTGATGGACTTCTTAAATGGGAAATTTTCCACAGAAAAACAAAGCACTGGAAATTTTTTCATCCATCACCATTAGTTATGCCTTAGAGTAAAGGTTTTCAACCTTTTTGAGTCCACAGCTCCTTTGACCCAGGTACATTCTTTCTGTGGGTCTTAGGAGCCCAGTTATGTCACCCTTTGCCTGCAGAGTCAGCAGCCCCTCACCCCTTTTCAAACATGCTCCCTTGTGGAGTGTTTCCTCAGCCTCCTATCCCCTCTCACTGGGAGTCCTGGGCAGCTGCAGCTGCCGCCCCCGTTCTCTGAGCTGCCACCTGCCCCAAAGAGAGGTGCCTTCTCACACTGCCCTACAGGACTTGGGAAGCACCCCCTGGCCAGCCCCAGAGGCACCATTCACCTGAGGAGCATGTAACCAGGGGGGCTGTAACAAACAGTTGTGTAAGTCTTTTGGAGGCAGAGACTCAAGAGGGCATCACGAGGAGGGAAGAAAGGAAAGAGGGACAGAGGCCAGTGTTGCCTGCAGCACCCCTAACTATCATTCAAGGCACTCCAGGGAGCCATGGCACACTGGTTGAAAACCACTAACGTCAAGGTTTCTTCTCATTTTAAGCAAGACTAGATTTATGTACTAAAGTAACGGCAGAAAATGGTTAGTAATTATCAGGAGTAGTTCTTAAGCTCAAAAAGTTGTACTTCAATGATGCTGCCTGAAAAGTTGTCTGATACTCATGTAACTGAAGCAGAGGTCTTCTGATGTCTCTGGTGGATATTTTTATACCATAAAGTTAGGTTTTCCATGGTGAGACTCGTGTATGGATTCACTGCACAAAATTTTGAACTGTTTAAAGACTGTAACCTTGAGTACAAACAACTTACCTGTTAAACTCGAGTAATTAAAAGTTGCATGGAGTAGGTAACATTTTCTGGAATTACTAATATATAACATAATGATTGATATTGTCCATCGTTATGCACAGAGTTGGATTCAGAGCTGGCCTTTCTATAAATGGAAGGGACTGCAATCCATTGGAGGCTCCTGCTGATGGAACTGGGGAGCAGGCGGGTGGGAGGAGGCTGATTCTCAGTGCAGACTCTCACACCACTTCACCCACTGTTCTGAAGGGTCTCAGTCCTCTGGAACAGACTTTCCAGGAGAAGGATAGAATTCACAGAAAGCAAGAGGGCATCCTGTGAGCTCTGTTCCACTCAAGGGAACTCAGGATCCAATTATACATTACTTGGAAATCATAAGTTGTGGCAGTTACTTCATTTGCAGAGCAGTCCTGTGCATGTTTACTCAAAACTAGTTCCACTGTTTCAGTGGTGCTTACTTCCTCTAAGTGTGCCACTTAAAGTGGCGCATAACTATGTTCTACAATTTGCCATGGAGATACTTTCCTCTTAGCTTATTAAAACTGCAATTCTATGTACATGTACCTGGAAGTAAACCCACTTTAATTCACTTACACTTATTTCTGAGTAAACATGCAGAGACGTGCATTCCATGTTCACTACAGTATCTGAAATACAAAAATCAAGTTTCTTTCAAGGATTCAAAATAGATATTCACAAAGTTACCACACTGTGACCATCACGGTTTCTTTATTTCTTAAGTCCTTCATAAAATTCTTTGCAGTAGTTTCAGAGTCATGCAAGTGTGAGTTTCTTTCTCTTTTTTAAAAGGCTATTTAAGGCAACTTAAGATGAACATGTAATGGTTATTTATGATGAAATAAATAACCAATATATTAGATAGACCAATATATTAGATAATAGTTTGGTCTAATTATGTAATATTTACAGGCAATAAAATTCCATGTACTGATTGACTTCAGTTTCCCAGAACATGTATATACAGTAGATGCTTGCACAATAATCAAATATTAAGTAACATGTTTACATGTTACTTTCACATGGAGTTGCTTTCTGTGTAGACAGTATATAGCACTTGAGGCAGTCTTTGTCCTCTGAAACTCTCCTGCACTTCCTGGTTTGTTAAGGTATCTCAGCACACGTTGTGACACACTAGACATGAAATTTCATGAGGGTGAAGGCGATAACAGTTGTTTGTATAATGAGGTGTCTTCATAGAATGAAGAAATAGTATTAGAATGTCAAAAAGGGTAGTG